AGATCACGCCGGCTCCGCCAAGTTGTCATTGTGTAATGACAGTTCAGCATCCCCAGGTAACCTAGGGACACTGATCTGTCAATGCAACTGACCGGAGCCAGCCGTGAGATCACGGCTGGCTCCGCCCAGCTGTCAGTTGCGAGGCTTCCGGCGGCTGAAACTAGCCGAAGGATAGCTACGGCTGATCCTACGGATAGCTTTGCTTTAAATTTCTAACAGCCACTGCACAAAAGGTAGTAGGGGCTACACAAGCCTAACGTCACTCAATAAGATGAGAACTTAAGTTGTAAGAAGTTTCAAAGCAATTGATTGAGGTTTAGGCACATTATGGTATGTAACAAGGACACTCCACGACATCTGTCTCTCTTGCAGCACTGCTGCTCCGGCCTCAATCTTTAGGGCCACTGTCTGGTTCCTCCAGACAACGGCAATAACATGCCAATCCTCTCAATATGGTTCGCAAACCCCGCAGCTCCCTGCTGCCCTGGCCTCCACTGACTCCAGGGTGGAGCTCTCCTGACTCACAGGTGGGGCCCTGAACACATCCCAGCACACACTTCATGAGGGATGTACACAGGTGCACAATCAGGTGCTGGTCACTACCAAAGCATGGACCCAGGAATGGAGATTTCTTCCCACCCAGAGCTCTAAGAAATCTCCTGGCTCCAGGATCCCAACCTTGATCCAGAAAACCCAGAAAGAACTGAAAAGGCAATTCTCTCCTGGTACCAGTAATGTCTTCCTGGAGCCACTCAGCCCCTCTGGCTGAGAACCCTGGGTGACTTTGAGGCCACCTAACACCGTGGTATTGCCTCACAATGCCACAGGTACATTAAGCTCTTTTTACATTCAGCTAAATGTTTTAGAAAAGGAATAAAATAGTTAAATGTGAATAACGTTTGGTATGTTTTATCAAATGACCCAAAATCTTCAGAATATGTTGGCATAGATAGCATCTTGTAATGCGTAATGTTTGGCAGACATTGGTTAACATTTAGGTTGTTTTTTGTACATTAAGCCTCAATTAGCTCCCCCAAAAAACAAGCTTAATGTCATTCATTTGCCTTGTGGGAAACCAAAACCCATGAAACTTCCAGGATAGGTTTGGGAAGCTGAGAACTAAAGTTTCAAGGCAATTGATTGAAGTTTATGCACATTATGGTACATTAACCAGTTGACATCCGCGGTGTTAAACCCCCTTCCCATCCAGGCCATTTTTCAGTATTCAGCGCTGCGGTACTTTGACTGACATTTATTCCGTCATGCAGCGCTGTACTGAAATGAATTTTATACCCTTTTTTGAGGACAGATAGAGCTTTCTTTTGGTGGTATTTATTCACCACTGGGGGTTTTAATTTTTTTACTATATTAAGGAAAAATCACCGAAATAAAAAAAAAAATGCGACGGCAACCCGCGAATGCGACAGTGCCGTCCGTCCGTTTTTCTACTACGGGCGGACGGCAACTGGTTAAGCTACATTAAGCCATTTTCACATTAAATGTTTTAGGATGTCCCTACTCACACACTACCCTTCCCTCGGCCCCTCTTCACTTGCACAGAAACAACAACAAAGCATTGCCATTGGTCACATGATTTATCAAACAACACACTGGGAAAGGGTGGTCCTGGAGGTAAAAGTTGAGTGTTGCAGCCACGGGCCCCAGTGTCAAATTTTTGAGGACAGATATGGCCAACATGTACAAGTATGTATTTAGGCAGATCCATATTTATTAGATGAATAACTGTATCCAACTTGGCAGCTGAGAGTTTTTGCAGTCCAGGAGAATAACTTTCCTGCCATTAAAGCAGATTAAACAGAACAGGCTCCATGGGGGGGTAAAGTCCCGAACTGCACCAACTAAAAGGCCTTCCGAGCAGAAGGATGGTTTACAAAGCCCAATTCACCAGTAAGGAAGGTATGTATGTGATTCCCAAATGTGGAAACTTGGGAGCAGGACCAGAAGATGTGGTACCAGTCAGCACCTGTCAGGGAACCAGGGGGGCCACTCCTTACCAGGGTCGTCAGATGCAGCACAGGGCATGGGGTCTCCCTCTTCCTGGCTGGACTCCTGGCGCCAGGGTCGCAGGTGCACATGCGCGAAATGCGCATATATAATACCAATAACAGTTGACTGTGGAATATTTAGTAGCAAGGAATTTTTGCAA